CTTCCCCTGCCCCGCCTCCACCCCCGTCCACAGGCATTCTTCTCTAAAGAAGTCCCTGCACACCAAAATCCATCTCAGCATCTGCTTCTAAAGACCCCAACCTGCCACAGTTCTTCTAGGAGTGCTCCTAGAAAGTGGTCAATAAGATGGGCTTTTGGAGCCAAATCACTAGCCACCTGGCAGGCAATGAGGACCCAGTTGGTGATAAACAGAACATAGCATCCCCTGGCCCAAGGTGATGGTCCAATAGGTGGTTAAATGAAAAGGTATATCCCCGGAAAGGAACAAACTAGCAGGTGAGGTTTATCAGGTGTTGAGAAGGGAGAAAGAGTAATTACAAAGACAATGGAATTGGATGAGTGTTGCTAAAAGCCATTAATACACAAAAGGTAATGAAAAGCTGCAGGCAATGAATAGGCAAATAAAAGCCAAATATGAGAGCCAGAGAGTCTCCTTGGTAGTTACAAAGAGACTCTCAGCTCCTGCAGCTGAGGCCCAAGCCCAGAATTAAATCTAGTGCTGACCTCCAGAGACCGTTAAATATCCCACCAAGGTAGACCTTAGGAGCTATGTGCCCCACTCAAGAGCTACCCCCACCTCTGCTGGCTACAAGGCTGATGGGAGGATTAGGTCACACCATGATTCCCCCGGGGTCAGGCTGGGCACAACCCAGGAGAAGAGGGGCTCTGGTCCAAAGGAGCTGCAAGGCCTAACCAACATATACTGGCCAAGGCCAAGGTAGCACCATTGGCACTGGACTCTGAGGCTGCCCGAGCCAGAGCTGTTGGGACATACGACTGTAGGGAGCATTCTCCAGAGATACAGGATTCAGACCTTGGCAAGACACCCCCCTCCCCGGGGCGATGGCGTCACCTTGCTACTAGGATGGTTCCTAGGAGCCTGAAGAGAGCAATGGCCTACACTAAGCAAAGCTGAAATGCCAGAATTTCCTTGGCCGATCGAGGAAGAAAGGATTCAAAGGCTCAGGGATGTAGACATGCTTAGAGTGTCTCCATACATATTATAATATAGATTATGTGAGGCCCAGCAACCAACCGAGGGATTATGTTCCACAGAAAGGCCTGGAGGACATACCATCTACCAAGGTCATCAGGAACACGCTAGTGGGAAGGGCTCCAGCATCACTAAAATGTTCAGCAGTGACGACAGGACCACAAATGGTAATAGGAGAGGACCCCAAATGGCAAGACCCCCAAATAACAGAGGCCAAGTGGGAAACGGCCTGCAGCAAGCCAGGTGGATGCAATGGTCTCAGTGAGGAGCTGGGCGACAGTGGCGGCCACAGGGCCCGACCTGCAGCATTGTGGAGAAGCTTACGGGATCCCTGGGTCAGCAGCAGCAGCACCTAGGAACGTCTTAGAAATGCAACTTCTCACCACTCCATCCACACCTCCTGAATCAGAAACTCTGGGATAAAATCGGAACTTCATCAAGCTGTGCAGGTGATTCCAATGCAAGCTGAAGTCTGAGAACCTCAGGAGAGAACACAGGTTTAACAGGACCGACTTTGGAAAGCAGGGCCGTGCCAGGAAACCCAGGAAGTTGGAATGAATTCTGCCAGGGGATATCTGTGCTAGGACGTCCTCTGCATTTTAGAAAAGGCTTTGCTTTCTCTTTAGCCAACAGAAGCACAGGAGTTTACAAAAAGTCACAGATTCTTCAAGTCCCTTTACGCCCACATTTCCACTTAGGAAATGTCGTATTTGGGTAATCAACAATTGTGAGTTCTGAGCAATGAATAGCTCCAGCCCTTGTTCTACTGAGCCCACTTCTGCCCAGCAAAGTTGCTTCTTTTCTTTGATTTGAGCAGACGAGTAGAGGCCAAAAGCACCAACCCCACACTGTCACTTTGGGTTTTACCAACCCTAGGAAGGGAAGTGTGTAGAAAAGGGAGAGGGAGCCCCAGGAGAGTGTGGACAAGAAGGCAGAGCTCTTCTTAAGAACAGTTCACGAACTGATAGCAATGTGGAAATGTAGGAGACCAGAAATTCAAAGGGCCATTTAAAGTCCGAGATATGAACTAATTATTGTCTGGATGATTCGCCACCTAATTTCTCTCTTATAGCAATTTCAGAAGGTATAAAAGGACTTTCTCCCCCCTTATATTGTGCTTTTTGGTAAAAGCCTAAATCTAAAGTTGAGGCTTTTCCCAGAACCTCTGGGAAGAAGAAACTTGCAGGAAAATCCCTGATCACAGGGGTTCGCAATTGCATATCTAACCACCAAGATATGCAATTTCCCCACATTTGTACTCTGGCACAAACCATCTATATGTGTGCAATATGTCTGCTCTTTTGTTTACCAGGCCATTTCCTACCTATTCAACACCAAGCTAAAATATATTTCCAGGAAGTCTTTTGGATGGATCAGAATATGTTTCCCTTTGTTACGTTATCGTTTTATTCCAACACATTTTTTGACATTCCAAGGAGTGCGCGTGTGTATGCATCTGCCTTGTGGAAATGTAGCTATGCTCCCAGAGTAATGAAGGCAGAGACAAAGGCTGTTTGGGGGTCTAATAATACAATGGGACGGGCAGATATTCTCCCTCCCATTGGCTACTTATAGGAGTGGAAGAGAAAACCAAGGATAGCCTTGAGGGTGGTAGCCACGGTTGCTGATCACCCCATGTCATACCAGTTGGAGATGGCTTAGGTCAGCGACATGTTTGCAGCCGCCAATTATGCACGTCCCTTCCCAACTTCAGTGCTGTTGTGTCCGTAGCTTAAAATTGACCACGGTGGGGTGGATATTCACACCGTGGGAATCAGAAAATGTTATAGACCAAGTTTTTGGGTTTTTTTTTCCCCCAAATCCAGCATGCAGATTTATCAGCACCATTACCACTTGTATTCTTTTTAACACTCCACATCTCCTTTGAAGAGGCTCATGCTTTCCTCTGCATTCTTGAACATAGAGAATGTATTTATAATACCGATTCTAATGTGTCTATCTACTAATTCTATCTTCTAGATCAGAAAGTTTGGCCAACTATGGGTCCAAATCCTGGTTTTATATGGCCCATGAGCTAAGAAAGGTTTTACATATTTAGAGGGTCGTAGACAACAAACATACATTATTAGCCAACAGGAAAATTCAAATAAAAAACACAGTGAGATAGCACTTCACCCTTACCAGGACAACTATAAGCAAAAAAGACAGATAACAAGCATTAATGAGGTTGTGGAAAAAGTGGAGCCCGCACACACTGTTGATGGGAGTGTAAAAAAATGCAGCAGCTTTGGAAAACAGTTCGGCAGCTCCTCAAAAGGTTAAGCTATCCAGTTGCCATATAATCCAGCAAATGCACTCTTAGATATATATGTAAGAAAAATAAACACGTATGTTCAAAGACTGGTACATGACAGTTCATAGCATTATTCATAATTCATAATTACTTCCCCAAGTTGTAAACAACTAAAATGCCCATCAACCAATGAATGGATAAAATGTGGTCTCTCCATACAATGGAACGTTCCTGGAATATTATTCAGCAATAAAAAGAAGTGAATGATAAATGCTAAAGCATGGATGAACCTTTTTTTGTTTGTTTTTTAAAATTTTTTAATAAGATTTTATTTATTTATTTGACAGACAGAGAGAGAGCACAAGCAGGGGGAGTGGCAGGCAGAGGGAGAGGGAGAAGCAGGCTCCCCACAGAGCAAGGGGAGCCCTATGAGGGGACTGGATCCCACGACTCGGGGATCATGACCTGAGCCAAAGGCAGTTGCTTAACCAACTGAGCCACCCAGGTGCCCGCATGGATGAACCTTAAAAGCATGTCAAGTGAAAGAAACCAGACACAAAGGACCACACGATATATGATTCTATTTATAGGAAATGTACAGAACAGGCAAATCCACAGAGACAGAAAGTAGTCTAGTAGTTGCCAGGGGCAAGGGGAGTGGTGGGGTGGGGAGAGTGGATGGGAGTGGGTTTCTTTTGGGGTTGATGAAAATATTCTAAAATTGTGGTGAAGATTATATAACTCTGGGAATATACTAAAACAAACACTGAGGGGCGCCTGGGTGGCTCAGTTGGTTAAGTGGCCGGCTCTTGATTTCCGCTCAGGTCATGATCTCGGCATCCTGGGATGGAGACCCATGTCAGGCTCTGTGCTCAGCGGAGTCTGCTTGAGAGTTTCTCTCCCTCTTCCTCTGCTCTTCCCCCTGCTCGTGCTCTCTCTCTCAAATAAATAAATCTTTTAAGTCAATCAATCAATTGATCAATCACTGAGTTAATATACTTTAAAAGGATGAATTTTATGGTATCTCCTAAGTGGTTCTCAGACTTGGACATTTCACAGACCAGTAAGCATTCATTCCCAAAACAAAATTCAGGGACCTATGATAGATGCCAACTTTTTTGGGGGTAAGTAATAATATTTTTAAAGTTACTGGCGCACCTGGGTGGCTCACTCAGTTAAGCAACTGCCTTCAGCTCAGGTCACCATCCCAGAGTCCCAGGATCCAGACCCTGCATCATGAGGCTCCTTGCTCAGAGGGGAGTCTGTTTCTCCCTCTGACCCTCCTCCCCCCGCCATGCTCTCTCTCACTCTCTTTCAAATAAATAAATAAAATCTTCAAAAAAAGTTTTTTAAAGTTACTCTCTACTACTAATATCATTTCATAAAAGAAGGCATATTTTAACACCTAAGGATTAATAAGGAATGAAGAATTCTTTAAGTGGAATAAATTTAGCTTCACTAAAAAAAAGGTATTAAAGTAATTTTCACAAGCAGTTATAATAATGTGTAACTGATCACGTTTCAAAAACATTTCCAATACTGCCTTAAGTATGAAAGTACTTCTGTTGCTATTTTTAAAATCTTTTTTTTAAATGGATTCCAGTATAGAAATTTACCATTTCTATAAAAGATGTTCTTCAAATCTTGAATTTTGCAGTCATGTAATTAGGTTATCACTTTTTATATGTATTTTAAACATAACTGATTTATTGATAATAAGGTAAATGAAAAATTTTAGGTGATAAAAACTTTATTCAAAACATGTCAAGAACCATACAGTTCAAAAATAAAAGATAATTTCTGGTAACTTAAAAATAAAGAGTATCTATAACAACCACATTAACTCTACTATTTATAATACAATCTCAAAATCAAAGCTAATTTTTGTACTTCTATATTTTGCCACATTTGAGCTAAAAATCCTCCTCCTTACCCCACTATATTGTTATGCAACCCTTTTAGTTTTAACACTTAAAATACAACTTGAGCATTTTCTGACAAGCAAGAATATATACTATTGGTTTCTTCTATCAGGGACCTATGTCCCTATACATAGTTCAAATCCCTAGAAACTAATTTTTACTAAAAATATTTTTAAAGGAGAAAACAGGTTAGTAAAACATTTTATTTGAAAACAATGGGTATATTAGTATTCTGAACTGAGCTGCACAAGAATACATTTCTACTTGAAGACTCTCCAGATTATTCGTTACACGTTTATACAGTACGGGACATTTGCAAGATGCTTTCCACCATTTATTAGTCAAGACTCACGACCCCAGGTGCTGTGAAATAGCAGAATTAACCTCAGTTTATGCAAGGAAACCAAGGCACATGGTCAGATCTTCTCAGGGCCAGAGTGAAGTCTCACTAGCTTCTGACTTATGTGCAGAGCTGAATGCTTGTTTGTGGAATACATTCATTCGTTTAATGATGGGAGTAAACGCAGGTGGGATTTGCTGTGGGAGAATTAGTTTTGGCTCTGTAAGTAAAAAGTTCTGAGCATGGATAAGATAAAGGACAATTTCAGTGTGAAAAGGGTTAATGGGAAGAAAGTTAAAACCAGAGTAAGCCTATTCAGACAGAGATCACTTTCCAGAAATAAAAATAGCAAAACAAGAATAGGAAAAGAATTAGAGCTATAGAGTTTCTCATTTCTAAGCCTAGGGGCTTTTATAAAATCACTTTAAAAGTAGGACCTCTCTTGAAGACAACCCTTAAGTATCTTATTTTTCCCTCCATAAAGCTCTGTGAGGTACAGAGTATGAACTTACAGGGTGAGACTAAGGAGTACAGAAGTTAAGACGTTAAGACTACATAGAGAGGGAATAGGCTGGAGCAGATGTTATGTCTTAAAGCATTGGCTTTGAAATAGAAACAGAAGGTAGAGGATAAACAGGAACTTTTCTGGATGGACAAATGGAATAATCCAGGGATCCAGTAGCCACACCAGCTACTTAACTTTTTTTTTTTACAAAGGACTTGGAATTTCAAGTACACAACGAAACCTAAGATGACAAATGCTCTTCCGGGTATTGAAATACGCAGTAAGTTCTCATAAGACTGCATGAAAAAGCAGAGGCATAACAGCCACAGTGCGGGTAAGTGCAAACTACCACATGTAGGAAAAAATACTGCTGGCTGTAGTCAAAATATGGGGAACACTGAGCTATCAACACGACTTGAGATAGGAATTTAATTTAGCCTGATCAATGTGCTAATTTAAGGAAAAATACTGGTCGTTACTGGAAACATTATTAAAAACCAAAAGCAGTGACACCCTGTTACTTGGAAAATCCTGTGTGACCCTGCACTTCCTAGATCTATTGTGAGTTATTGGGACATTAGGGATGTTTGAGGTTATTCCTAACCTCTGGAGGAGACTCATAAAGCATCCCTTCATGGTTGCCAGACACAGTTGTAGCAGGATGGGTCACAGTTCTAAGCCAGTGTGGCAAATCTGATGTTCTGGATTCCCAGGGAGGTCTTCCCTCTAGGTGTCCTCTAACTGACTGTCACAGCTCAACCCCATGTCATGATGATAAATACAACCAGTGTAGGCTATAATACCAAGGATCCTGCTGGAAAAAAACTTCAAGAGGGCAACTGTTTGGTAAAGAATACAGAATATAGTTACTTCTTTTTGGTGCAGGGAGGTATGTAACTCGATACATATCATGTCCTTAGACCCCAAACACTGATTAGAAAATTCCTGGGAATGGACCAATAGAAGGGAGCTATTCCCAAGTGATGACATGAAGAATCCTTTTATTTATCCATGGCAGTTTCCCTTCTCCCTGGTATGTAGAAGGAACTCCCACATCATGCTCTTCTCAGTTGATACTGTATGATAAAACAGTAATGTAGTGGCATCTGAGGTTTTGACATTCTCTCATTCTAGTTTACTCGGCGCCACAATCAAACTGAAACTTGAGAATAACTAACCTAGTAATGAAAATACAGTAGAAATAAACCTAATGTTTTATGTATTTTGACCATCAAGGTAAATATGACCTTTCTGTTCCCCCCCAACCTTTTTTGCAGAGATAATGTTAAAGCAAATATGATAAAATGGGTCTGAAAGAGTGAAATGTTTGCAGATGTGAGGGTTCTTTTGTGTGTGTGAATGGAAAAAAATTTTTTTTAACTGCGAATTTTAAGTGGACCCTTCTCCCCTCTGTCTCTCTCACATACCGACCCTGCCCCCTCCCCGCCAAGAAAGGAAAGGTCGTCACTAAGGAGAAATGTCAGAAGGTGTGATATCCTGAGGAATCCTTAACAAATTGTTACATTCTATGTAATTTAAATTATTTTGGCAATCTTTAATTAGTCTTAATAAACACTCTGGGAGTGGTGAGTAAACATTTGAAGAATCCTGTTGGGGGAATAACATCCTCCAAAGGTTGTTAGCATTTGAAAAACTCTAGTCTCTTCAGAGGCTTCTACCACAAGAGCTTTATCTATAGTTTAACACCAGAGACTCTGTTAATAAATGATTATTTTCAACGGCCATATTAGTAGTGTTACAGGTACGTGGACTGGGACTGGCCAAATACTGCAGGGCACTCCAGCCCTTCCATCAATAGGGTATGAGACTCTAGCAAGCCCGCTAGCCCTGGATCCCTAGATTACTAACCTCTTCTGTGTCTAGCAGTTAAACAGAATTGGGTCACCTGACACTAAATATACTGGAATATTATTGGATTTGCTTTTAATAAACCTTTTGCATAAGATATTGTTGAATTCCCTAAAGAACAGAACTGGAACATTTTCAAGCTTACAGGACATTTGACTGTTACAGGGTGCCTGCTTGCTTATCAACATGAATGATGCAGAAATGGGTCAAACGGTGATTTCAGTGTGAAGAATCACCTGGTGAGGTTGGGGATGGGGGTGGGAGAAGAGCTACAGCCCTCACCCACCTCTACCTCCTGAAGGCTACCAGAACCACCAAATCTCTGCAAGGGACCAAACTGGCCAAGTCCAGTTCACAACAATTTTCTTTAATGGAAGAAATAGAAATTCCTTATAGATATAATAAAATTAATCCAGGCAGCATCTATAGTTGAATAGGCTTGCTGATAGCAGTTTCTGGTTTATCAGAAGAACTGAAGTCCCTGGTCCTCCTAGAAGATCTGCAAAGAGTCCAAGGATGAAGAACCTTGTCAGTTAAGCACACGGCTGAACCACTGGTGGGGACCCTGGCATTTCTACTTCACACTCTTCCTATTCTCCTTCTGGTTTTCTACCAAAGCTAGCTAGTTTTCCATCTATCCGCCTCTCCCTGGGAGTTCAATAAAGGTGGGACAGACCAAACAGAGTGATCGGTGTATCAAAGAACTAAGGTGAAGGTGTTAGAGAGAAGTTTGTGCCCAAATTATTTTGAACCAACTGGGATGGAGTGGCTTTAATTATTTGATTGTTTTTGCAGCTATGGTTATCTAACAGATATAAGTCTTTCTGAGCATTTTGAGAAGTTCAAAAACCAAGTAAAAATGAGCATTTGTGCTTCCAAACATTTTAATAAATGTTTTTTATGGGTTTTTTTCTTATGCATTTTCTTAGACCTCCATTCAAAAACAATCAGGAAAATGTATTCTCTTAACTCCTCTCCCCAGAAGCAGATTTTAAAGAAGTAACAGCTGGTTGGTGACTAGCATGGTCTGTGGGTGTGCAGCATAGGAGTGTGAGCCTTTCCATCCCCACAGGGGCTCCTGGAAAGGGGATGACACAGGAGTTTGGTCCTAGTCTGTGAAGGGATTCATGTAGGAGACTTGTCTGGGAATCCTGTCCATATCACAAACTCAATAATGTAGCTGTTATTAGTAGTAATCTGAAAACCAAGAGCACCCCTGGTTATGACAACATGCATTTGCAATTTTAGACAAAGCTTAAGAGGCTAAGCTCCAGATATCAAGCTTTCCATAAGACAAAATAGGTGTTACAGCAAAAGAAAGTATAAGTCCCTCTTGCACTTGGCTATACTCAAATTGGATCAAATTGAAGTTTTCATGTTACCACTTGGTTCTCCCCAGTGCTGGTGAGGGCGCTGGGAGTTTAGGTTCAACATTTAATAATAATAGAGTCATAGGCTTTTTCAGTTTGAAGAGAACTTATAATTTCCCATGTATTATTATCTTGTTTAACTCTCACATTTCTGAGAGGCTGACAGGAAAGGTAAAATCTCCACTTTATGGATAATGGGCAGCCGATGCCCTAGCGAGGTTAGGTGACTTGTTCAGGTTTTCGCAGCCAGAATGGGGGAGGTTGGGAGTAGAATCTGTTCTTTTGGTTCTTGGTAGATGGTCTGTCCTCGACACCCCAGGGAATAAGAGGCTTGAAGGAAGGCTCTATTGTATGTAAAGAATAGTACCACGAGGCCAGCCCAGTGCAGGCAAAGAGTGTACAACGAAAAGCAAAAGTCAATTTTAGACTACTATGGAAGAGCATTTAGGAAATCATCCCCAAAAGATGGACGAAGAAATTGTGCTACCCTTGTGAGTAAATGAGGCCCTAAAAGATTTATGAGGAACCAGCTCATTTAGTTTAGAGGGCATTTATTTCTTTAGTATCTACCATGTGTGTGTTACAGGGAGGTCTATCACAGGTAAGAATTTTATCAGAAAGCATGGACTTCTTCAAACTTAGAAAATATAAGAAGGACAAGGATAGGAGAACCCTCACAGAAGAGGCAACAAATCACTGCCATTTAAGAATTAATGTCAATTCATATCCCATTATGCCGGGCCAATCCTGGACGGCCCAGAGGCTGTACTTTGGCTTGGTGTGCAAAGGTTGGTGACCCTGGAGCCTGGGCTGCCCATGCAACGGGCCACCATGGCTGCAATTCTGAGAGGGAGCACGCACACTCCAACCCCCCCGAAACGTTAAACTTCGACCTTAAGCGGATAAGCACTCTGGGGATTTCTTTCTGTTTCCGTGTGTTCTAGTAAACCAGTTATGGGAAGAGTATCTAGTATCAGCTGTGGATTATATCACTCACTGACCTTTAAGAGTATAACTTCCAAATTTAAACAGACATCATCAAGTTGTCTAAGCTCCAAATTTAGAAATCAACGGGCTAATTTCGGATGGCATTTTTTGTTTGAGGGGGCTGGCTGATCAAACCCTTTTAAAGCTCCTTTCTGTTCCACTCAGTGTTCAGAGAGAACAGAAGGGAGACACCAGGATAAACAATTATATAGCTTATCTGACCCATGAAAAGGGCCAACAGCTATAAAATCTACCAGTCTGTTCGAGAACTATTGTAGCTGACAGAGAAGCAAAGAGGATAGTGAACTGGCTGGTTATAAGAGAGGTGTCTACACCACGAAATTTCTTTTCCATAACTACATCAAAATGTTAAAAATTTTATAGTGGGTTCTTCTTGGTAGGGAGGGCTCTGAAGACAGGCCAAAAGGCACTGAAAACCCAGCCCTTCCAAATCTAGTGCAAATGAAGACCTCTTTACTACCCCCTCCAAGGTCCAAGATAAGTTTTTGTGATTCTAATTCATCAACCCACTTCCCAGCAGGACTCTAGAAACCATCCCTAGTGTGTAAGGCATTTTTAAAGCTTTCTAAAGGAGCTGACATACCACCGTATCTCTTCCTTTGTAACATCTAGTATTTATAAAAACACTTTATTCTCAAGGAGAACTCCAACCACAGCCATCTTTCTGTTGGGAAACAATTGCAAGGATTCCTCCACCTTCAGCTACACTAATTCACTGATGGGATTCCAGGTAATAATCAAATATGTTCTTTCCATGCCATCTTGCAACAAAGGGCAGTAAACTCTGAGGTAGCGCAGTGATACAGCAAGGAGGGTCCTTGGGATTTACCCTTGAATTCCATATAACCCTAGAGCCTTTTCAATTGCTAAAGTGCTGAGTTAGAGTTTAAGCATCTTTTCTCCTAGAACTGTCAGTCCCCCAGGCAATAGGGGCAGACCGCGTGACTACTGTGGAACCACCTGGAAAACTTGCCTTTAAGAGTGTGGCACTAAAACAAGGGAACACACACACGAGCCAGAACCGCAGCCGGCACAACATGAATCACAAAGTATCTTTGGTATCTCATTAGAAATCTAGGTCCATATTCTCCTGTCCCCGCTGAAACTTAGGGTGGAAACGTGTACTCTTTTATTAGTACTTATGTCATTCTTTCCTAATATACGACAAGTCTGCAGTGTTTTTCATACCTCTCATCTTCCAGAACACACGGTAAAACAATGCCTTCCTTAAGATGTGAGAGTGATCGACATTTGCGCGGGTACCTGGGCCCCCTCCTCTGCTCACCCCGCTATAATTACTACCTTCAACCTCAGTGAGGCTACGTTGGCAAAGGGGACGGAGAAAACTCAAGACAGATATTTGCAGGCACCAAAATGTTGCACTGGTAAGTCAGTCACTATATTATTTGCTTTTTAGCATCCCTTGACTCTTGTTCTTGACTAGGTAAAAGAGGGTGGGGGGATAAAGGACAACATGAGGGTTTAGCATATACGCCATACTGAAGTGGCACTTAAAAAAAAAAAAAATTCACATTTTCTACCTGGCTTTTAAGAGCAGGAGTTATTTCATGGTGATTTTCCAGTAGGCTTTTCTGAGGTAGATAAAACATGGAGGAGAAGTAGTCTGAAGAAGCAGAGGGTGGCCAAAGCCTGTGTGGTTAGGATTAGTTTGAAAGGAATTTCAGAAGTGAAAGCTGAGCTTGTCATATGCAATACTACAGAAAAGAGGGACAGGGCTCAAGGCTGTCCACCACTTAGCCAAGGCTTTTAGAATTTCATAGGTGGGAAATAGGCTAATCTGGCTAGGAAAGAACAGAACTGTGGGAACAACAGAGTGAGAGCAGAAGCTTGGTGAGCACGCAGCTCATCAAGCCTAGGCAGAGAACGGCACAAAACACGTATCCCTCCGACCTTAGTGATCACGAAAGAACACCGATTACAGTTATCACAAGACTTTAAAAGCAACCAACAGGCTTGAGGGCTTCAACTGCTTTTGGTTCTTGTTGTTGTTGTTGTTTTGGATAAAGAGCAAATTTTGCATCTTTCCTCAGGCCTCCTGTTTGCACAGGTACTGTAATTGCATTAAGCATGTCAGGGAAAGCCAAATCCCGATGAAATAATTAGAGGGATGGATTCTGAACTCCTTTTTCTGCTCATTTGAGTTACAGCTGAACAGGCTGGCCTTCCTAAGCCCCAGCAAGGTTAACATTCCCAGCCGGGGCCTTTCTTTCTGGAGAATCACTGCTGCTATCACAGGCAGATGCTCTACATTTAAATGAACGAGCTGTTGTGGGCCAAATGTTAGTAGTTAAACGCTACCGTCACAGAGACAGACAAAGCTATTGTCAAGTTCCCAGACACACCTGGTGGCTAAGAAACTTGAGGAAGGAAAGAAATTTGCTGTTGGCTCCAAGCCATTCATCACGACTTCTGATACAGGTAAACTGGGATTATTTTATACGAGAGAATAAAATCATAACCATTGGCCTCAGTTTCTCTCCCCAGTCTAAGATTAAACGTTTGTCAGGAGGACATACACTGGAAAGAGGGAAATCACACGTAGTGTTCTCGTGGGTTGATGTAGACTCTCTCGGGCTCGTTGCTTTCATGATGTTTGCCAGGACTCCGGTCTTGGTAGCATATCTGGCTGTAAAGAGGGTACAGCGGCTGAATCCCATCTTCCCCCGTGGGATTCTCATCTTCATAGTCCAATCTCCTGCTATTTAGTCCATTCTAAAAATTCAAATATTGCTTACATTAACAGAGCAGCTGTTTGCATTTTCCTAGCACTTTGGTAAAAACAGGCAAGAATTGAATTCATTACAGTCTGTGTCTCTGATTCATTATCCCACAAGCTACTGAAAGGCAAGGTAAAGTCCAACAACTTACCATTTTCCAGTCCTGCGTTGCTTACAATACCTGAATAAGAGTCGCAGCAGCTCCTAAATACAAAGTTATGACTAACGGGAACTATAGTCAATTTCAGGTTTCAAAATTTGGAACTGGTATCGGTTAAACTAGGGAAGAACAAGGCTGTGAACTTCCAGAATCCCTCGGCAAGCCTCAAGCTTGGAATATGTGCATGAAATATACAGAGAATTATGTCCAACAGCCAAAACAAAACCAAAAGAAACCTCAGGATTCAGTGCTGGGGAATTAGGGAAAAGACAGTGAAATGAACTTGTATTTGACCATATGCCCAACGTAACTGAGAATCAGAAACGCTGTCAGAGCTGGCACCATCAAATGAACCCCCGTGATGCTCTGTGGTGTCTCTGGTACTGACCCCTCTACCCGGTTACTGGTTTCATAAAACTCAATTACTTCTAAGATGGGCAAGCAAGCTCAAGGACTTTACAAAATCATACTATGCATGCTCAGATAGCAGAGAGGTGAAAAAAATAATTTTCATGGAAATCAAGTGATATTCTAATAAGTATGGTAGCCACCAGCTCCACCTGGGCAGACCCCCGCAGCAGGACCACGTTACTTACAGAGTGCTGGAGACCGCCAACCTCTCTTTCTTTGAACTGAGTCTGCAAAGGCAAGTGTTCAGTCTGGAGGAAGAAGAAGGAACAAGACATGCACTTTAAAGCACCAAACACATGGTGAAATATATCAATCAAGACCATGAAGATGCCTATTTTTAAAAGAGCCTTTCATGTCTTGTCAAATGTATGCCAACTAAGCAATGTTCCATTTGAGGAGGGGATAAATAAATACATTTCTTGAGTTTGTCTCTCTCTCTCCTAACTCCAGACTTCTGGAAGGAAGAAAACATACAGAGCATCTGCTGCAGAACCTCTCATGCAAACTTATTTACATCTTACCTGAGGGAGGACTTACCTTTTCTGCAGAAGAATCTGATACTTTGAATCAGCTAAAAGTGATCTGGGGGTGGTAATGAAAAGTTATTTTTGTCCTTATCTATATCTATGGTCACCCTTTTCTTCCTGATACCTATTCCCTGCCTCCCACCCCCTCACAGATCATAAAGGGGATTCCTCATTTTCAAACCTCACCCTAGGAAGAATCCTTCTCAGCTTCCCCTTGGCTTATAAATGCATTCTTACCCTTCAGCCCCCCTGTCAAATATTAACTCTTCCAAGAAGCCTTGCATAAAGCATATATTATTATTGCAATTAGTTGTTTATATTTGCTTGTCTCCTTCACTAGGATTGAGGGTGCTAGTTGGAGTATTTTACAAACATTACCTCCTTCATAATCTCTCTAAAAATTCTATAAAACTGATGTTTTTATTTTATGGATGACTAAAACCGAACATTAGAGTGGTTCAGTAAGGTGTCTCCAGTCACACAGCTGGGGAGTAGTGGATTGTGATTCACACGTGGCTTTGTCTGAATCCTAATCCTATATTCCTATATCCCCTGCCTCTAGCTCAGTGTCTGGAAAATAGATGTTTAATAACTATAACAGAAGAAGGCCTGAAAGTCCCAGCATGTAGGCATATCTATCAACATGTTCTCCTTTTCACTTCCTTTCCTCATGCTGTCCATTTGGCCTGGAAGGTCTGCCCCTTAGTCTCTGACAGTAGAAATACTACCCCATCCATCTTGGCCTGGCTGAAGTCATTTTTTTTTTTTCCTCCTACAAGGCCCATCAAAGTTCATTTCTTTACTCCTGGTAAGTTTTCTTACTGTTCTTGTTTATATCTTTATCATAGCACACACCATTGATCTATCTGACAACATCTGTACCTTACGACCCTAGTGAAGAGCGAGAGCTTTCCTGGCCCTCCTCTTCCAGCTCCAAACCCTAGCCTGTGGTTCTGCAACAGTAGGAAGTCAACAGTTAACTAATGAATTTACTGAACTCTAAACTATTAATTCTTGATATCCCATATTAAGGTTATCCAAATTATAAATTATGTCTGACAAATTTGTTCCTCTTGTCACGTTCTGCATGATTCTAGGGTGCTTCCCACATGACCACATGAGATGGACAGTACACACTGGTAAAAGTCCAAGGCAGGGCCAGTCTCATGGAGTGTGACCAGTCACACAGGGCCTTGTGTTTAGAAGGTCCCACTTTGGGGCTTAATGCTCAGTGGTTGTTGCCATCTTAGATTCTGTGTTTTGTAAGTGGTCTTATGAAACAGTGGAGCATGCCTCAGTGACCTGTAGCCTCCACTCAAGGATGTCCTCTCCTGCTGCTTGTGTTTGATTTGGTTCTTGGCCCCCACCCCCTTATCCTGGTGTCCCAGATCCCCCTCGCTTTCCCCTCCCTGTCCCTGTCCAGTGACTGTTCTGTCCTCTGCCCTGGCAGGGGCCCGAGTGCTGATACAGGGAAGGCTGGGGTCAGGACTGCATGCCCCCCACATCATGGTATTTCTGGCAGGTGACTAGAGGACACGTTTCAGTGAGGACAAGTCTTTCACCCTGATCTAGGAACCTGACATCACCGTCCTGACATTGTTAATTTTCAACAAGAGGCCCTGCATTTTCATTTTATGCTGAGCCTCACAAATTATGTGGCTGGTCCTGGTCCAAGGAAAATAGATTTAGGGAAAAAAAATACCTAAAACTAAACTGCCATTTTATTTGCTGTTTTAGATGATCCTGGTTGCTGTTCTCCCCTTCTATCAATACAGGTAACTGAGAAATTATTCTGCATCAGTGCTGTTATCTAATTCAACAAGCGGCAGACAGAAGCTTCTGTGTAGAAAGGGCAAGTGCCTTTCTTCCCACTAGTGGCAGAGTGCAGAAAGCAAGGGTGCAGTCAACACTGAAAAGAGACCATGTTCTAGAAATACAGTGATTACAGCCTCAAGAGTTCAAGAAAACATTTGGTTGGAATATGTGCTGTTCTACGTTTACACTATAAAATTCCAAATGGCAAATTTAATATGACTAGAAAATAAATTACCATCCAGATTTTCCTGAACACTCAGGATAATACTTATATTTGGTCATTGTCAATGAAACACAGCAACAACCAAAAGCCTTTGGAAGCCAGTGTTCATTGTGGGCAGGATGAACCATTCAGCATCCTGAGTAACAATATAGCCAGTAATAAATTAATAGTGTTCGAGCATTACAGAGGCAAGAAAATCTGTCTATTTCATTTCAATTAAGAGATTTCAAAGAGCCGTGGCTTTATGAGTAATAATAGCATTGCTACATTTGTCTCATAGTAGAAGATATATAATTAGCCAGAAGTGGTACATGTGAAAATAAAGGACAAGAAGAGAGAGTTTCTAGAACTGAGCAGGACACTATGAATAATCTTCACTTGCACTGAATGGATGACAAGCATACGTGTAAGGTCCTTTTCTCTACCCAATATTGTAAACTGTCACAAACAAACCACTATCCCTCATGGGCGCCCATGAATTTTGTAATATAATATTGAACCAAATTCTATGAAAAGAAGTACCACACATCTTAGAGATGGCCCTGCATTAGGGATCAGGGGTTATGGAAAAGCATGCCGCCCTTGCTTCTGCACTGTGCAGCCATCCAATTTCTGACAAGATACATAAGGAATTTCATTTAATCTAATGGTGGGTGGTATACGTATTCTATTTCTGCACTCCCTAAACTACCTGAAATGTTGAATATCTGACTTTAAAAAAAGGTTAATCACCAGTATATTGCAAAGTGTCTTGCATAATACCTTACTTATGTTTGGTGCTTAATATATATGTACTAAATTAACTTACAATATTTTAACTAATGGATACACAGCATATATTATTCTATTATTCTTACATTTTTTTCCCTAGAAAGCCTTGGGCTACTCTGAATCTCAATACATATTTTTATTTCCTTACTGGCGTGTACTATCTTGTAACAACTTCTATCCATAAGCACTTTCCTCATTTCTTAAGTCATTAGACTTTCTTGCTCTAATGCTTCTTCCTTATAATGACAAGTGATACATTTTTTACTTCTGCTTCCAGTCATGATGGAGAACTAATACCAGACTAGCCCCTCCTGTCATGAAAGATACACCAGAAAACTGGACAAAATACATAAACAACAGCTTTCAGACAGTGGATAACTGTGCTGCACAGGACTGGGATCTCAAGAGACAGAAAAACATATGGTGATCCTATAATAGCCCTGGCAACTATCTGATTTTTCTGCTGATCTGGGAAGAGAAAACCCAAGAAGAGCACAGAATCTTGCTGAGCTGAGGGGACAGAGTTCAGCACTCAGGCAAGCTGAGGTGACTGTAATCTGTGGGACAGGGTATTGAAAAGATGGAAAATCCTCACTGGACATGTGAGACATTCAGTCGAGACCCCAAGGTCATGCTTTAAGAGTAAGGTTAAAATAGCTCTAAGGCAGAGAGTATTCTAGAACAACCCTAACAAAGCTTAAAAACAAGCTTCCAGAAGAACAAGTTGATCTTAAATTAACGGAGTGACAAAAAACAACTCGATCCTCATTAAGGAATGACAGCAAAATTCAAATAATTGACAGGATAACATTCACAATGTCCAGGATCCAATTAAAATGTACTGAACATGAAAAAAAAAAAAAAAAAACAGGGAAAAAATAAGTCAGTAGAACCGAACCCAAAAGTGACAAATAGGGAATTAATAGACAAGAACTTTATAACACTTATTATAAATATGGGTAAGGATGTAAAAATTATGAACAGAATAGGAGAATCAAAAACTATGAAAGAACTGAAAAGAATTTCTAGGACTGAAAAAATACAATATCTGAATTGAAAAAGTCACTGCAGGGTCTTAATAGACACCACAAAAGAAAAGCCCAATGCACTTGAAGACAGAAACTATCCATACAAAGAACAGATGGGAAAAAAGCTTAAAAAGAAAAATTAAATATAGCTTTAGTGATCTGTGGAATAATATAAAGAGAACTACCATTTGTCGATAACTGGAATCACAGAAGGAAGACAAGTCAGGAAAAAATATTTGAAGAATTGCTAAAATTTTCCAAATTAGATGAAAAATACATCAATAACTCTAAGAAGCTCAATGAACTCCACTAAGGGTAAACATAAAGGAAACTACTTCGATACATGTCAAACTTGAACTGCTGAAAACAATAATAAAGAAAATCTAAGATGTGGCCAGAGGAAAAAGTAAGATACAGTATGTACAGAGAAATAAAGATAAGAATTACACTGGCCATTCACCAGAAAAAAAATGAACTCAAGCCCAACCATGACAATAAATATATTTAATAAGAATAGACTAAAGAGGGCGCCTGGGTGGCTCAGTCGATTAAGTGTCTGCATTCAGCTCAGGTCATAATCCTGGGGTCCTGGGATTGAGTCCCGTGTCTGGCTCCCCGCTCAGTGGGGAGCTTGCTTCTCCCTCTCCCTGCCACTCCCCCTGCTCGTGCACTCGCTCTCTTTCTCTCTCTCTGTCAAATAAATAAACAAAATCTTAAAAAAAAAATAAAGTCAGGGATTTTCAGACTGGGTAAAGAAGTAACTCAACTCGATGTTAGCTATGTGAAATGCATTTTAAATATGAAGATATAGGTAGGTTAAAAGTAAGGGAATGGAAAAACACGTACCAGGAAAGCATGATTCATTAAGAAGAAATTTAAACCAG